ATCAAACCTTTTACTTTATCATCATTTGGATTTTGGCAAATCTGCACCTTACCCCGCCTCACTGGCAATTCCGCCCCCCCCCTCTCCACCCACATTCGTCACTTCAACTACCCTGCCCATTTCACTACAATCCAGTAAGCTGCTCAAACCAACTTATGAAATAACTGATGACCTGTAATGAAACCTCAAAAATTTTAAATGCTAAAAAATTTCCCAAACTGGAATGCCCCCCCAAAAGATCTCCCCTCACACAAAAATTAGAATGTGCACCTGGTTCAGGTTTGTAATTCCTAGCACGAAACATATCGAGTCCAAAATGTTCGACTTTCCAGAGCCATTCAATCCGGTGATCGCATTGAATTGCGGATCGAAGCCGTCCACCACCTGCCGTTGTGCATACGACTTGAAGCCGTCGATCTCGATTCGCTTGATTCGCATTTTGCATACACACTCTCTCTGAACAATTCTTCCACAAAAACCAGTCGAATCTGCCGAATAATTTTTCATTATTAAACCAAATTTGGAAAGAAAAATCCGGCAAAACGCGTGAAAAACCGAAATTTTCCGAAACTATACTAGTGCCTGTGATGTGTGGATGCTTGTGAACGTGTCTCAAGTTAGCTATAACACACGCGTAACCCCCAACTAAAGTACTCTAGCCACATGTTCAGGTTAAGGGTCACCGCAGGTTTCACCTGAATGTTACTCTCTAACCGGGGGTTCCAACTGAAGCCTGAGGCCTGAGCTGTACCACCACTACATTCTTTATCCAAGTTGATGGTGAGTAACCCTGACTGTTGAAGTTGACATTGCTCATAGAGCTTTTCACAACCTAATTTTCACCTCGTTTGTCTAATTTCAAATGAAATCTGTGGCAAACAACGCGCTTAATTCAAAATAATAACACGTATTTGGTCTACAGGTAACGATTTCAAGGGAATTTTTTCAGTACGCACATACATTCCAATCATGCCAGACTACTCCTAACACGACGAATAATCGATAGACAATAAAATGATTCAAAAACACCTCCAAAATCGGCGAAAATTTTAAAAATTCCACCTGAAATTTAAAAAAAAAGAAAAATTCTCTCACGCAAACGAAACAATTGCACATTAGGTGTGCCGCCAAAATAAAATTCAAAAGGTTCGCTCGCATTGGCCTTGGGCCAAGTAATCTCGGAATGTTCGTACCGGTTCAGACGCTAGTTCAAATTTCAAAAAATCACTTCCGGGAACGTCCGAATTTTTACTTTCCCGTGTGTGTAAGTAAATCTTGAAACACAAGAAAGCCACTTAATGGTTATTTGAGCTAGATAGAGTCTGTTCATCCAGTTGAAACACTATCAAAAACTCACTCGCTTTCGGGAAACTTCGTACCCTTGTATGCTCAAACTTTAAAGGGGGTTACCCACGAAGGAGAGCAAATTCTTACATTCCCGTGCGAGTAAATGGCTTTTGAAGCATACAGAAATCTTCTTGCTCCAAGTAAAGTTGAACCCATCCACCTAGGTTACATCACGGCAAAGACTCATGAAATTTTTAAATATGTACGCGTGAATATAAAATTCGTGCCAGATTCAGTGCGATGCATTGTTTAAACCTAGTTCTGCGGGAAGCCTCTAAGTTTAAAATATTTAGTTCACATAGGTTCAAGACCTAGATTTAATTCCAGGTCTTCACAAATAGTCTTCCTAAATATTGTTGAATCAGTGCCACATTACTTTCGCTTACAAGCACTACAGTCAATAAAACCATCGTAGCTGGAGTAACTAGTGATAACCAAAATAATCGAATTATTTTGTTCAACCTGAAATGCGTT